CGGTTTGAACGGTGCTGTTGAATGTCAACTGATGCACTGTTGACATGCTACTAAATGTCAACTGATGACTTATAGAGTGTTAACTATGGACTATCAAAATAAAGTGTTACCCATGTTAATCCAAAGGGACCAAGGTCTCAGCAACAAAGCACACAATACCTGCCAAAGCCAGATGTGTGCAGAACATGTGTGTACAGTTTGATGTGATTGGAAGATATCTTCATAACTGTGTTGTGTGTATGTGATGTGTGTTTCTGGTATATGTTTTTTACATGCTGTTTTTCCGTGTGATGTATGGGAGGGAGACGGATTTTGTCAGCCGTGAAAATGAATGCACGTTTGTGTTTTCAGTCTTCCTGCCATGCATAAAGTGAGCAACACAATTGGCTTATATGATCCATGTCTGCGTGTTGTTCATTGTGTATGAACGTAGTGCATAGATTGCATAATGTGGAAAGCATTGTGCATGATGTACACAGCACAATTACCCACTGTGATCTATATGTGCAAACTCTGAGTGTAACATTTGTTGACATCGCATATCACAATTTGACATGAACCTAGAAAGTAATTTTGTTTAAATTAGGATTCCAAGTAATCAAACTGAAGGATATCTAGAAGGAGTCAAATTGGCTGTTTTATAGTATTTTAGCCATTCAATAACAAGGATTCATCTGAATGCATGGGATTTCCTCGGCACCGGCAATATAACAAATGAAGTATATTAGACAAGTAGACGTCTTTTTTTTTTACTAAGTTCTGTTTTTGCTGTCTGTCATTTTTGGTTCGTCGTTTGTCTGTGACTGTGTTCGGGGAGTGTTCTGAGTTTTGACGTTTAGCCTTGAAAGAAAGGATTTTTCAATGTTATCTGCGTTTGGGTCCTGCTTGCTTCACTCACCGTAACAGTAGAGGGAGAAGACATTAATACCTCCTACTGTAAAGATAAGTCTAAGAATCAGCATTCAGATGTGCAGATAATGTAATCATTCACCTCTTTCAACAGGGAAATGGAGGTACTCATGTTTTACTACAACATAATTACATTTATTTTAGATGACGCTTTTGTCCAAAGCTATTTACAATAAGTGCAATCAACCAAAAAAAAAAAAAAGAATCCTGAAAAGACTTTAGCTCTCAATAAACCATTGTAAGTGCTACTGCATTGACGTCAAATAAGCCAAATCTTTGTTTGTGCTCAACCAAAAGAGAGATACAAAAAAAAGAAAAAGGTATTTGTGGCCATGGTGCAGTAAAAACAGTGGGTTTGCACTCTGTGACAGAGAATGTGTAGACTTTCTGCTGTCCTGATATCAGTGGGGAGCTCATTACACCATTTTGGAGTCAGAATAACAATCAGGCGTGTTTCCTTGGCCCCATCCAGAGTCATTATAAACAGCAAGGTCCACTCACACAGCAAGAATTAACAGCGGGGAAAAACTGGGAGGTGAAAGTCACAAAGTTATTATTGTAGCTTTGCTCATGTTGCAACCAAAAATTGCATTTTAAATTGTGTTAGACGAGAAAGATTTGAAAAATAACAAATAATATTGCAGCCAACTGTACGCCGGGCCTGGAGTAACCCTTTGCTGTAGTTTACAGTCTCATTTATTCACTAGATCATCATGTGGAAAGATCAAAAACTGTGAAGGCTTATGTTTAAGCTGTCAGACACAGAAGGTTGTTGAGGATGATGGTGAATGAAGCAGCATCAGGACATGAAGGTTGTGACAATAAAAGAGAGACAGATTCACAGAATGAAACGGAGAGGTAAGAGCAGCCTACTCAAACACACAAGGACACATTTATCCGACAAAGGTACAGATGCTCAAATAACCGTACAAATAGTATTTTCCTTGGGTTTTGCAGTGTCCACATCTTTTGGGAATATGTGGCTACCACTCAGGGATTTCGAGGAGAAAGAGACATTCGTTCTTAGTTAGTGTAGTTAGAGTTAAAACCAATGTGCGGTTCATGGGTTATGGTTGTATAATTACTATATAAACATAAATAGTTCAGTCACATGAGGAAAATATCATCCTATGAAATGTTCAAGTAGAACAGAAGATTTAAAAGGGAGTGTCCTTTTGAGAAAACAAACTATAAGACTGTTTCTGTACCTTTGGTTAATGGCAGTTGGTTCTGTATGTGATAAAAGGGGTTAGTTAGTAAAACCATTATCAAAGCAAACTAGTGTTCTGATCTGTTTTCAACAATAAGACTCAAAACAATGAGATCCATTATTGCGTTAACACATTTATACTTGAAGAGAAAACTCACTCACACTATGATTTGAAATTGTGTGGACTTGCTGCTATGTCCTAACTTTAAAACACATTAATACGCTGTTCTCATAGTACCCTGCTGATCTAAACATCTAAAATGTCATCTTCTTCTCCTGCTTTTCTTCAAGTTTCTGTTCTTGTGTCCTTTGTTTCATGACCTTTTTCTCTCATCTTTTTTCATCTCTGATCTTCTTCTCTGATATTGTTGTTTCATCCATTTCTTTAGTAGCACTGTTTGAACACATTGCTATCAGCATTATAGGCAGTAGAAAAGGTTTTTCAAAAGAGATAAAAGCACAGTTGCCACAGAGGTTAATTATTTGATACAAAGCTCTGCATTTTGTAGCATACATTTTTGCTTTACTGCTGGCGCGCCATGTCCAAGGCCAAGGTCTCACAGCAGCTGGAGTGTGGAACAGATTGTATGAGAGAAGTTGGGGAAAAGGAGATGTGGCAGAAATGATGAATATCGTGGTGAAGCAGAATATATTTATCTGCAACCTTGACTAGTAATGGAAAGACGCGAACACATACTCCTATTAATGCATGTAGGTGCATTTAAAGAGGCAAAGACAAAAAAGTTCATGGTCTTGTCTTGTTCAATGGAATCATGCTTTTACTTTCCAAACTAAATGCCAAGTATGTCTTTGCTTAACTAATATGAGCACACAACCAAATATGTTGCCTGAGTTCAATGAGTCCCACCAAGTAATAAGCAACCTGTCCAATACAAACGATTCAGCATTCTCTGAATTGCTAAATTGACTCAAAATGATCAGAATCAGCCCAACGGTAGTACAAATATAGCCACTTTCTGTTTTCAACCAACATGTTTGATCCTGAGAATGTAATAAATAGATTCAGCATCCTCAACAACAAAAAAAAAATCACTCCTATATTGTCCAAATCGGACAAGCCATTATGATGCTAATTGACGCAACAAATGCTATTTGTGCAAACTGCCCAACATATGAAAGTTAGCATCCGGCAGTTTCTAAATGCTGGGGACTCATACTAAACATTTCTAACATAAAACTTTGGAGTAGTCAAACATTTCGGCTGGATGGCGCTGGCAAGTAGACTAAAGTGTAGAATGTATTCACCTCATGTGCATCAGCATGGCAGCTGAACATCAAGCCCATCTGATCCCAGAGAACCACCGTCCAGCTGTTGGAGAGCTGCTACAGATCAAGAGCGTGCACAAACTTGCTGTTTCTAGGCAACAGCCCTTACATTCAGATATTAAACTCACTGTGAGACCTCTGGAGAGCTAACATCAGAGACAAGAGCTGTGGCCAATGTCCAAACTTGTTCTGCATGCTGCTCACTTTTTAAATATATTCCTCTTTCTATCCTTTGCTCACACGTCACTGCGGTGGAAACAGGAGTTAGTGCAGCATGTACCACAGGCAGGCTTATACAATAATTAGAAAACACTTGACCAAGGTGGCACAATTGAATCTGAACCATAGCAACCTCTATAGAAAATGACACTGGAGGACCTCCTTGAAGACTCTTCACTGCCATTGAGCAAGCCAGGTTCAAAAATGTGACACCCCTCCTTTTCACTAGCCGTCCATAGGGGGAAGGAAGGGAGAATAATCACATTTATTCCATGTTTTGCACTCGGGCAAAAGCACACCTATCAGTTCCTGTTACCTTAGTTCCCGATGAGTTTCTCGCCAACAGCAAAGGAAAATGGACCGTTACGTTTCTCAACTTCTGTATGAACAATGATGTGTTTGATAAAAACAGTTTTACTCAAATTAGTCTGAAGCAATTATTCATAGCGGGGACAGTATTGCAACTTCTTTTCAAGGTTTAAGGATTGTTTACATTCTGAATGAATGGGCATTTCATTTGAAAAACTAGTCATGTTTTCAAATGAAATACATAAGAAGGCGAAGGATATATTGTCATCCCCACAGCAACGTGACCTTTGCTATGTTGGTTAATTGATTTTTCCTACACAAAGCACTGCTTATGTTACATATGTGAAACAGGTAACAGTGTAGGTTGTGGAGTGAAAACAAAACACATTTCTATATCAGTGAGTGGGCAATCTGGAAGCAGAACTTGTCAAGTACTTTCAAGGTTTAAGTACGGTTTCTCACTATTGTTGGTCTGAAAGAAATGACACACAGTGGGCAGTAATAATTATGGATCACAAAACTGTACATGCACCCAACTGAGTTTGTCAGGTGCAAACTCCACACTGTGCTATTACTCAGGCTTCATACCATGTAGTGATTTTCTGTCCTACTGGGTTAATCTGCTCACCCTGCTGGGTAAGTCTTTTGCCGTTATCAAAATGCGCGGAAATATGTTGAGTGTATTGAGCTGTGAACTTTGTACTGAAAATGAGTCAAGCTCACTTCAACCTTTTTTTAAATTGCTGTCAACATTATTATTGACCCAAACTCTCACACATTGGCTGTAGTCAGGAGAGAAAAAGGCTGAGGATGCACCAAAACCGAGGCAGTCCTGAGATTGAAGTACAATCTTCACATGGAAAGGTCCAAGAAGAAAAGCATACCGCCTTTATATTAGTCT